AGAGAGGAGGAGACACACTGGGATAAAGATGCTGCAGATGACTCTGCCCCACTTACACTGGCTCCTGGCTCTTCATTCCACCTCCCTCTCCTCCTGCACCCCTTCCCACTTTCCTCCAGTGGCCCCTGGCTCTTCCTCCGACCTCCCTCTCCTCCTGCCCCCCCCCCCCCCCCCACTTCCAGTTCGGATAAAACCGTCTGGATCGGCCAGCTTCCAGTGCTCTTTCCTCAGACCTTGTATCTGATAAGAACGATTCCATTACTCATCCTCCTTCGTCTCCTTGTTTTTTTTTCCAAGACTATTTCTTTTTCTCTCTTGCTCTGGAAGGAGGTGACCTCATAGTGCTGGGATGCAGCTCTGAGAGTACTGTAAATGCCCTCTGTAGGCCCAGGAGGAGACCCAGGATGAGCAGGGAAAGGAGAGGCTGTGGGGGCTCTGTGTGTGTGTGTGTGTGTGTGTGTGTGTGGGTGGGGGGGGCATTAGAGACACACCTATGAAACGCAGCTCCCAAGATCTGACCAGCAAGAGTTTCCTGCTGTTAGTAATGAACCACTGACCAGCCTCTGATTCAGTCAGCTCGGGGGTGGGACAGAGCTCTCAGCAGCGCATTAAAAGGTGCTCTGCTCTGTTTGAAGCGAGAGTTTTCACATTCTCTTGTTCCAGGACCAGCGACCTGCAGGACAGCCACAGCCTCTGATCCTGACAAACTGAAAGCCGATGATCTTTAGAGGCTGGGAGTCCTCACGACAGCACAGCACAGACAGTGGCACAGATAATCACTGCCACAGATGGCAGGCCTCCGAGGGCACAGCCCCTGAGCCTTATCTGTGGGCCTGCTGCTGGGAGAGCACATGGGCTTCACAAGCTGAAGGGAATTCCTCTGTTCTGCATACAAGACAGACAAGTCACCGATGAGTCACGCACTCTGGATGACACGGGATTTCTTACTACACCACAGAAATATCTTCAGGTGGAAAAATGCTCATTTCTCAATGCACAGTGCTCCCCTTCTTATAACATTTTTTTTGGTTGTTGTTGCTGGTTTTATCCAAATCGGCGCGAGTCAGTATCGCCGAGGCGTGGAATTGTTTCACTCTGACGAGCAGAATGAATCTGTTCTCTCGAGGCCCCGCCCGTTTTCCACGGCCGCGTCTCTCACGCGTGAAAAAAATCGGCGCCAACCGCTCTCCTGTATCCTCTCCTTGTAACTGCGAGTATCCGGATTCTTTCCGAGTTATGTTCCCCGGGGATATTTTGCACCGCTTTTACTCGGCTTCATAATTGCAGTCCCTAAAAAGCAAACTTCTAAAAAGGAATCCGAAATCGTGCCCGGGGGCTGATAACAAGGCCGAACACTCCCTCCCTCTCAATCACTGTTCTCAACCCCAGTGGGGGGACTGGGTGATCAATTACTCCCCAGTCTTTTTTTACTTTTTTTCTAACCCTCCTTTTGCGTTTCACCTGGATGTTGGTGCCCCGTCCTCTTTCACACCACGGTAATTCTTCGCGGGTTTTTTTTTTCTCTCCAAAACTCCCGATGGCGTTAAGAAGCGCCGATCTTCAGTGCCTGCTGTTCCACTACAAGACCAACCACCGCAGGCCGCTCTCTGTGTCCCGGTTGCCCCTCGCCGTGACGTGCAAGGGGCTGTTCCTGACGACACGTGAGTGGAGAGGGTCCCCTTGTCCGCGACTTGGGGAGCCGTGGGCTCACGCTTCCCCCCGCCTCCTCCACACTCGCCGTGTCGGGGCTCTTCCAGGGAGGAGCACGGCTTGCAGATTTACACCTCACGGCGCCGGGGTTATTCTAGGAAATTGCTGATAGTGTTCACACCTCGCTGACACGTGAGATAATGGATTGCCTTCTAAAATTAATGCTGTGAGGGCCC